TAATTATAATTATTATAATAAAAAAAGCTTTAAAAGAAATGAATCAAAATTATTACATTTTCTGCATACACACATCAACGCATAATTATTACTCATGTTTTGTTCGAAATCAGAAATAAAATATTCAAATTTAAAAAGATTTAACACATAATTTTTCTATATGAAGATTTTTTCTATTTCTTTCACCACAATATAAAGGATATTTTTGATTTTATTAATGCTATCATTTTAGTAAAATCAAGTCATATTTTATTCTATAATAACTGCATTTTAAATTATATAACAACAAAAGATAATTTGAAATTCTAATATGGGTAAATGTGAGTAAAAATGAGTATTATTAAAATTATTAAAGATATTATGAAGTGATATTATTCCAAATTCTTACAAAATGCCAGGAATAATAAGTATATTAGAGCGGAAAGATTGCGTTCTATGGCAAAGTATAATTTATGTATGCTATAAATGTTAACTTATTAAATATATTATTAAAATAAGTCTTTAAAATATAGAATCAATTGGTGTGATTAATTTTAAATAAATTGCAAACAAATTATTAATTTATAAAATATATCATTTATTTATTATTTTGTCACATTTTTAAAATGTAAAATTGTTTTAAATTTTACAAAAAGTTTAAAAATACTACAGTTGTTAATTACCTTTTTTATGTTGTTGTATTTCAAATCAATATTATTATAATATACCTATAATCATACATTTGAAGCAGTTTTGTAGTTATAAATTGTTCTTGAGTATACCATATTTACATGTCTTTTTTTCTATGTAATATCGAAAAAGCACTGCTTAATTTTAGAAATTGTACAGAGTTTAATTTAAATTAAATATTAGAAAGATATTCGTCACATATTTGCTATTGGTCCATTTAAAAATCAACACCAATTGTAGCATTGCTATACTTTCACACAAAATTTAGCTTCATTATAGGCAACCAAATGTACACATTTGTCACAGCAATTATTGCGTTTCTTGACTTTTTAATGAAAAACTGGAATAATTTAGACCATGGTAATTTGTTGCAATGAACGTAATTATTATAATTTATTATTTTAAATAAAAATCTATATAATATATAATTGAAAGAGTTTTAATAAAGTCAAAAGACCGATTGACGAAAATTTATAACATTTTATTTTTTAGGAATAATAGATTATTAGGGCGGAAAGACCTCAACATTAGCCCTTTGGCCAACCTATTAATATATTTTTTTAAATTTTTTGTTACAATTTATTTATGTATAGAATGTACTTTTTGTTTCTTATGTATTGATGTTTGGCCAATAAATTATTATTATTAGATTATTTTTTTTCTAATATCCATATAATAATCAAAACAAAATCTTAACTTTTAATATTCGTTTAGTCTTGAAGATGATATTGAAATTTATTTTTTTCTTAATATTTGTTTTTTTTTTCTTTATTTGTTTGGTTTCGTATTAGATCCATAATATCGTTGTGCTCTTCTATAAATAAAACCAAATATATTGCAGGTTCGTGTTGAACTCTCGCATTTGTCTCTTTGATACCTGTTTAACAGGGATTCAATTTCATCAATATGTTTAAAACCGGACTAATCGAGGACTTTAATAATTCGCACAAAGAGACTTGACTCTACAATTTACTAATTTTGTACAATTTTTTTGGTATTTATTTTTATTTTACTTAATATAAATTTAGTTTTAGCCGTACTAAAGTTATTTGAGCTGATTTACAAAGTTTATTTTAGTTTTCGGAATTAATTAAACACACACATTTTACTTTATTCCAGTAATGTAATGTGATTGATTCAAGGTTCAATTTCTATGTTGTTGTAGTTACGTAAATTATGTTACTTACTTTTTATATCCCAAAATTGTTGCTACATAAAATAATAGGTGAAGTAAAAAGTTCTGAGCGTTTTTCGTTATATGGCTTTAGTGAGCCATATCTCACGATGTATACTTTGCATCTTATCATTCTATACTGAGACTTAAAGGCGACAGTTTTGTGTTTAGTGAATCCAGTTGTGTGTTGGAGCGTTCCAAAATGGAGGTAAAAAAAGAGAAAATTCGATACATCTTCTGTACCACTACGAAGAAGGGGAAAAGCGGAGCAGGCGGCAAAAAATAGTGTTGTTTATGAAATTATCGAATGCAACAGAAAAACGTTGGTTCTGGTAATATGGACGTCGAAGATGAGACATTTCTGGTAGACCAATCGTCGAAAATGTTGATAAAATCATGGAAATGCAAGAACTTATTGCCTAAGAACTGAACCGTTTGGAACGATTGGCATGTCTCACGAAGAAGCTCGATGTATGGGACAAAACGCTCAGAAACTTTTACTTCACCTAATATTTAAAATCGTAGAAAACTTATCTAAAAAGACTCGCTTCACCATCTAATAGTTTATTAGTTTCTTGTTTCAAAAATAAAAGTATATGATTTATAACTTCTCACATTCTAATATGAATACATAGATATTTTTCAAACATTTCTTTTTTTTTATATTAACACAAGCACACTATACATCTAAGGTGATAGGGAAACAAAAGAAAAAGTTTAACAAAAAGAAATTAGAAATTATGATATATAATTATATATATATATATATTAAATAGTATTCACAAGACGTACACATAGTTTCTTATGTCTAAACTAAAAAATTCTAATAACTAGAATTTCAAACTTAAAGAAATTATATTAATATGGCAATAAAAATTCCTCAGGGTATCGTTCATAATGTCTGATATGAAACGTGTCGTTCGTCAAGAAAAAACAAACACAAACAAACAAAAAAAAAACAAACAAAAGTATTGCTGAAAATGATTGATTCCTCACCGATTTTTGTATGACAAATATAATAAATTGCGTTCACAGATTTTTTTTCTTCTTACATTTTTTTTTTCTCTTTCATTTGTTTCGTACCCTTAATACATAAATATTGATTCTTCAATATTTGAATGAACATTGCTTTTCTTCATTTAAATATATATATTTATATATAAATTGTGTACATACTAAAGGTGTCAAAAATATATATACAGCATTTATATCAATTAATATCTCTACGCTATATTTGGTTTTCACGAAAAAAATAATAATAATAAAAGAAGATACAAAATTAAAAGAAAAACACGTTATAATATAATATATAGTGACTATTTTGTGGATGTTACAGTTTGAAAATAGCATCCACGAAATAGTGAAATAAATTAGTTAGATAACATAAGTAAAAGAAGATGCTAGCACATATAAAGTTGTACTAATCATAATATCGCCAAAAGAGGCCTGGAAGATATTTCTCTTTCTTCAATTTCATAAATTTCTTGTTTGAAAATTTCGAGTACATACAAAAATGATTTATTCTCTCCACCTTTATTTCTTTAATTTTCTTCATTTTTTTTGTTTTATATATAGTGAAAAATATTTGGCATCATATTTACTTCTTTTTTTTTTTCTTCATAATTATTAACATTATTATAAATCCTTGGTTTTAAATAATCACCACCGCGGAGTATATCTACTTGAATTACTATAATACAATTTACTTTATTATTTTCTTTCTTGATAGGCATATATAAAGAACACTATAAATATTTACTTTGCTTTGTCAAAAATATATTATATCTAATTCTACATTTTGGGTGTCGGGGGGGAATTACACAAAAATTTACTATACATATGTAATTTCTTCCTTTCCAAAAAAAAAATGTAATTTCAACTGAGAGAGTGAAAACAAGTGGATCACCTCTTTTTCTTTAACACACACACGCACTCCTTTATATTTCTTTTTCATTTTCCAATTGAATGATATAAATCTTTACCATAATTAACGAAAACTGCGGTAGTAATTTAAAATAGAATTATTTCAAGTGTCAACAGATATCTCTCTTTTTTTTTATTCCTCTTACTTCTCCTTTTCACAATGCTAAAAGCGCCTTGTTCACGTGGAAAATATATGCTTTTGAACGTGAATCAGGGTTACAAAAGGCAAACTGTGTAACATTTAAGTTTTATATTATATTCTTATAAAATGCTCTTTATACACACGTAAATCAAATGAACTCTCTTCAAATGTCGAATCAAAGCGATAATTGATTTAAAAAATAAATACACCCTGTTTACATTTAAAATTCAATAGTTGAGAAGGATTTTTATTGAAAATAGTAAATAAATAAATAAAACGAGTGCATTTTCAATAAAATTCCCTCCAGGTTGATTGCTTTCCGAATAATTACAGCTTTGATTTCTTTGTAAATAATGTTTGTTTTTTTTTTTCTCTAAATAATTATTATTACTTTTGTTTTCGAAAAATTAAAAAAAAAACTAAAAGAGAAAGGTAACTATAATTTCAATGGATGTACAAATAAGAATAATTAATTAATGAAATAAATAAATAATTTAATATGAGCTAAATATGTATAATTTTTTAAATTGATTTTTTTTGTTCTCATTTTATTTTCTTATTTTAAATAAAAAAAAGATGTACATCCAAATAATTAATTAATTAATTAAATAATAGTAATAATTAATTAATTAAATAATAGTAAAATAATATGGAAAACCTAATTAGAAATAAAATAATATTGATTAGTACAAAAAAAAAACTTTAACATAATTAAAATGGCAGTCAACTTTGTATACTTAAAAAAATAATAATTTCTATCTAAAAAAAACGATAAATTAACTAATATATAATAAATACCTTATTAATTAATATTACTATCAACTAAATACTATATGACTTGTGACCAAATTTGATTCTCTTTTTTCACTCTTGGTCATTTTCTCTTCATTATTATTATTTTTTTTTTTAGAAAAAATTATTTCAGTTTATTTTTCTTTTTATTTTAATTTTTGGAATATTTACTTTGTACTGTTTCTTCTTGTGGGTTCATCTTATTTTAAAATATTCTTTTATCTTCATCTTTTCATTTCTTTTGAGATCATGAGGCACTATTGTTTGATACAATTTGTAGACAAATCATACTTTGTTTTG